TTTAAATTAGTTGTATTGTTTTACCTCACTGCGTTATAATGAGGGGATATAAGAAAGTAAGTTTTACAACATCAACACAGTATTTCAGGTGTCATTGCAAAAAAAATAACAGTTAGCGAGTTAGATCTCTATTTTACAGTAAAAGCTGGAAAGGCCTGATCCAGACATATTTTAATGGCTCAGTATCGACTTAAATAACTCATCAAATTGGATCCTTTCATTACTTGACTTGGCAACTCAAAGTACAGCATTTCTTCTATCACACACCAATCATAGAATTATCAGTGTCTTACACAAAGAAACATTGGAATGCAGACTCAAAGAGCCAGGGATCAAACCACCGACATTTAATTTAGCCTCGTCCTCCTGTGCCACAGCCGCCCCCACTGTGCTCTGCTGTGTGTTTTGACCACCTCAGCCAGCGAGGGTTGCAGGTCTAGTTCTTGAAGACGCCTGCTGTGCAGCTTCCTGCTGAATAAGTCAGAGAGAATTAGCCTGTGTGAATGTGAAACTATTTACAGTGGTTCAGATGTGAAGAATACAGATTCTAAGCTCCAACACTGACAATCAAATACCTGCATCATTATCACTTTCACTCGTAAAAAGACAATTATCGCTGGTTGTACGACATTAATGGAGCGATGCTTGTGAGCTAGTTCAGGCAGCCACCTCGAGCTGCGCTGCTGTAATCATGTGACATGCCTCACTCTCCACAACCCTCCATAATACACACCCTCCTGATTCACTGGTCTATTTAAGCTTCAAAGATTTCCCATCTCTCCCTTTGCTTGTCACTGTCTCTGTTGCACTGCGTCGCCAAGTCAAGATATTGATCAACATTCCGATAAGTCGCCATTTAATTGTATTCTTCAATTCATTAAGCGTATGTGCATTGATACAGTGCTGACACTTGGTGAAGGAAAAAGTCTTTCACATGCTTTTGCTTAAACCATCACACTTTCCTTCCTTCTTAATCACAGTGAAATTGTAAGCAGAGAAGAAGCCTTCTTTTGCTAGCATTGGTCTCTGAAGACTCCTCCGAGTTCATTACAGGGTGAAGTTGGAGAAAAAGATCAGGGACTTCTGTTCTTCTGTGACACAAAGGGCATTTTCAGCTTTTGTAAAAGTTTCGTAGAAATAGACAAAAAACATTGGGCAACAAGAAGTCAAGATGCAATAAATGTGAACTCATGTACCAGACGTTCATGCTCTGCACCTCTTACCCCTCCAGTGATATATGCTGTCCCCAGCTGTGTTTCATGATGGATGCATTTTTAATTTCACCACTGTAAATCTGTGTCTTAGCGGTCCATGAAAGTAGTCTGCACCATCGGATTGCATACCCATACACATTACATATGGATCAGTCAATTAGAAGCCAAGGGCCCTGCAACTATGCATTTTAATGACACTGAATGATTTGCAATTCTGACATGGGATGCGGGAACCTGTAAAAAAAAAAGATATGAGGCTGCGTTAGACTGCTGATGTGCCGAGAGAGCACTGTGTCCCCAGTGCTGCTGTTTCCACTGCGGTAACTGTTTAGTTATGTAGTGAAATAAATCTCACAGCGGCAGCTCAGTCTATCTCCCAACAAAAACATGAGCCAGGAAAATGGAGGAGCCCCAGTCAAATTGACTGAATTGAAATAAAGTCGATTACCAAGATGCTTTCCCACTGCAGGTATCTCAATAAGGATCCGACAGAAGGAAGTACAATGAAAAAGCTTTTTAGAAATGTTCCATCATTAGTTGCCTTTTTTCTTTCTCTCTTCTTGTGCCTCTGCACTGGTGACAACCAGTGGCCAATGGCATTATGTATTTTTTATGTCTGTCTGGCCATCAATTGCGAACACGCCATGAGGGAATTTCTTCAAATTCCTTAAATACATTCAGATTATTTATTAGATTTTGCTAGCCAGGGGTCAAGGTCACTGTCCCCTCGTAAAGCACATTTCTTTTGATACCCCAGGAACACTTTCAGGGAATTCATTAAAATTCACTTAAAGGTAATTTGGACAGAATTCTGGTGGTTGAAGGTCAAAGATACGGTGGCCTCAGAAATAATGTTTTTGGCATCTTGAACAAGATATCTCAAGTCTGGTTTTGACCAGTTGTCACTTTTAAAGATCAAAGATCATAGTTACCTCATATGAATCTGGAAAATAAGACTGAAACTGCAGAGTTTGGTGACAGCAAACAACCACAGAGCAGAGATTCTAGTTTCCATGATGTTTGATTCTTTTTATTACAAATTTCCATTAAAGACTCTCCAGTAAACTATGTGCAGCTTCAACACAGTTGGAGCATTTGGACATTTGGATTGTGTGTGTGTGTGTGTGTGTGTGTGTGTGTGTGTGTGTGTGTGTGTGTGTGTGTGTGTGTGNNNNGTGTGTGCGTGTGTGTACTTGTGCTTGTGTGTACTTGTGTGTCTGTGTTGCTGTTACAGGCAGGTAAAAAATGGGATCTGAACTTTCTGTGCTGTAAACATCCACTTTTTATTTTTGAACTGGTCTGCTTTCCTAATCTGTTACTCCACACTGGTTCTTTACACCTTGAGGCCAGCAGCATAGCACTGCAGAAGAAATCCAATTTGGCATGTTCTCCAAGAGCTGCTCACAAATACCAGTGTGCTCACTGTGACTTTGGGTCTGTTCATTTCATGGCAATTCTGCAACATGAAGCAGCCTCAGTGGTGGATGAAGTACTTGGATGCTTTACTCTGAAAAATGGAAATACTAAAATGTAGAAGCTTCTTTATTACATGTAGGTATGTTGGGAGTATTTTAAGTAATGCAGATTATTAGATTAGACACACGTTTGGGATCTTAATCTTTCCAATCTTAATCCACTCTCAGTGAAATGGAGTGGAGGATGAAGCACAGTACATCACATGAATGTTTAAAAATAATAATAATGATATATTTCTCAGTGCCAGTCTAAACACCCAAGGACAACTGCCAATACATCATAAATAAACACATGAATAATGCTAATGAAACCAAAAGTAGGAGACACAAACACCTGTGATTAAAACATATGTGAACCTAATCATATTTAAACACAAGAGTGATGTAAAAGCAAAGGTTACAGTGTGATGAGTGAGGTTTAGATGATTCTACACTGTGGGTTGTGTTATTTGGAGCATGGTGACACGTGGTTCGCCAACTTGACAGGACCAAGCCAAACGCAACAGCTCGTTCAAATCTCAGTATCCTACAGCTTATGTACACAGACATTTATTCTCACATAGCAAGAATTCATGATTTAAACCCAAGCTTATTATGCATGACTCTTTCCATTTAGCGGAATCCTGCTCATGATGATTTAAAACATTTGCTCTCGGCCACTTACTGTATGTCAGCTGGTGTGCAGAGTTGGTGTGTGTGTGTTTGTGTGTGTGTGTGTCTGCTTGTCCTCTGCTGTCACGTGTGTCTCCCTTTCCTCAACCTCGGGCCCAGCCCCGGTCTCTAAGGAGTCATCCCCTGGAAAGGCATGACAGAGCCCCAGTGTTTGGAAATGGCTGTGCTGGCAGCGATAAGCAGTTCAAAGAAGAGAGCGCATTAATGTAATTGGCTGCCAGCAGCACATTGGCCTCGTCGTCTCATATCCACATGCGGTAACACACACTCACCACACGGATTATTGGAGGAGAGTGTGTGAGAGAGGATGAGAGAATGGAGGATGAGAGATGAAGTAAAGGACAGAGAGAGAGAGAGGGGCGGAGGAGGAGTCGCAGTCCTCATTGTGTCGCTCATTAAGCCGTGGGAGGCTCATGGAGGCTGAGAGATGAGATGAGAGGTGTCAGAGTTAAATGTCAGGTCTGGAAGGGACGTAGCTGACCTCACACACACACACACACACACACACACACACACACGCACACACAGAGAGAGAGAAGGGATCCAAATCTGCATCCTTGAATTATCCCCTCAACTTCTCCTCTCCTCCTTAACTCCTCTCTCTCTGCCACTCACCTAGTTTTACCCCTTCCATTTTCCACCCATTACACCCAAATTACTGGTGTCATTGCAAATTGAAATGTTGCGACTCGATAGCAGCATTTCCTCTGAACAGTCCGACTGCAGTGGGATGAAGCGAAGGCCATTTCCTTCAGCTAATTTGCGAGTCTGTGTGATGAGAGCGCGGAGGAGAATGCCGGGTGGCTTCCTCCACTGTTCTGAAATGTTTTTTTAACCAAAGGCTGTGAGCAGCTTTGAAGTTAACACCCTCGTCCTTGTATTTAAAACATTCTCCTCTTGTGTTCTCTGCTCACACTCCTCATCCCACTCACACTTTGCTGCTGTTCCCAGTTCAAATGCTGCTCTAATTTTTATTCTTACTCTCAGCTCTTTCACCCTCTGATCTACTCTGCCTTTTCCCATTTGACAATATTTGGTGTTCATGAATCCAAAATAGCAAGTTATTTTTTCTGAAATTTTTTTCTGCTCAAAATATTTACATTGCCTTAGTATGTAACCTTTTTTTTTTTTAATGAGGCTGTGGTTGAGATCATTTGTATTCATGATCTCAGACAAGTGGGAATTCTTAAAGATGCACTTATCAATATATTTGTATTGACTATGTGTAATGTGAAAACCTTTGCTAATAGGTTGAGACGCACACAGAATAATCACACAACTCTGCGTCACCTCTCAGCTCAATGCTAACTGGTTGAACCACAGCCAGTTAGCGATTAGTTGGGAATGTAGTGGAGCATTTAGCAGCTGAAGATCCAGATATTTGTTTTGGGAGTTGGTGAAGACCAATATTATCCAGAAACATCCCTGGAAGTGTAAATAACTAACTGTATGCAACACATTTGCCATTTAAACTATATTTGGATACAAATGACAATATTGTTTGTCTGAGGTTTAGACATAAATGGCAAAGGTAAAATGCAAAAAATGTCTGATCTGATTTGATTAGATCAAATCAGATCATTAGATGCCAGAACACAGTAGCAGATCCTCTAAAGTACAACATTCTGCCTTTTTGCAGGTCAACCCTTCAAGTTGGACCCAAAGACGGCCCACAAGAAGCTCCGCCTGTCCAACGACTGTCTGACCATGGAGAAGGACGAGAGCTCGCTAAAGAAGAGTCACACCCCGGAGCGCTTCAGTGGCACAGGCTCATATGGAGCAGCGGGTAATGTCTTCATTGACAGTGGGTGCCACTACTGGGAGGTGCTGCTTGGAGCATCTACATGGTAAGAAACACACACACACACACACACACACAGACACACTCTAATGCATTATATAAGCCTGCAAGGAGGTTTTGTAAACTGAATTCTTCTTCAAGGAGTTAAAATCTAGGCTGTTATGCAAAACATCACACACACAGAAACACACACTTCCACTTGCAGTGTATACTCTTATCCTCATTATATTATTTTCCCTAATTGGCTGTGAAGTAGACCTCTCCATGCACGAAAGACCCAAAGGGCCTGTGTCTGTCTTGTGCGTCCTCAGCATGAGGTAGCTTGACTGTGCGAGTGAAATCATTAAGGAGGACACTAGTCTCAGATCAGTAATGCATTCCAAATTGTTCCCTCCCCGCAGGTATGCCATTGGCGTGGCCTACAAATCAGCCCCAAAGAACGAATGGAGCGGCAAGAACTCGTCCTCGTGGGTGTTCTCACGCTGCAATAACAACTTCATGGTGCGCCACGACGGCAAGGAGATGCTGGTGGAGGCGAGCCTGCAGCTGAGGCGGCTGGGCGTCCTGCTAGACTATGACAACAATTCTCTGTCCTTCCACGATGCAATGAACTCCCAGCACATTCACACCTTTGAAGTCTCCTTCCTCCTGCCCGTCGTACCTACCTTCATGATCTGGAACAAGTCGGTCATGATACTCTCAGGGCTGCCCGTCCCTGACTTTGTTGATGGTGTGGCCTCAGATCTACAAGAACAGCAGCAGCAGCAGATGGGCCTGTGCCGACAAGAGTCGCCGTACCTGACGGGAATGAAGACCTGCCACTGAGAAAGAGTCCACTCACACCTGGTGACTGTGACAGCGTTACTTACGTTCCGCTCTGATCTTCATAATGAGTGGACCTGTTAGTTTTTATGGAATAGAAAGAGATGGGAATATGCGCAGAAAAATGTCAGTCCTGATAGTTTGTAGCCATCCAATGCTTTGCAAATCCATCAGTGAATGGGAACAAGGTCTCTTGACTGAAGACGTCAGGGGACGTAAAACTCATCTGATGCTCTGGAGTCGCTGAGGATGTGAGCTTTGGTCTGATTGGACAGAGCATGACTCCCGGGTTCCTTGACATTTAAGGTCTTCCTTTTTGATTTATTGTCTTCTTGATTCGACCCTAGGCAGAAGACCAAGGAGGGAATGTTGTCATCATTTAGAGGGCAACGATTAAACAGTGACATTATTACATCATTAAAACTGCAAAGGAGGAGGCAGCCAAAACAGAACCTGAATACAGACTTTTTAAATGTCCATATATCTGTCATATCAAGGTTATGTCAAATTTAGATTTTAATATTGATGAACTGGTCTGAAATTACAGTTGTAATGGTTTGGGTCTCAGTGTCTTTGAAACAGTTTAGAGAGCATGGAAAATGGCAAAAAATGCAAAAAACTCAGTTCCACACCACTTCTGGGACTTCACGACACTTGTTGTTTATTTAACCTGAACACTCTTTAACCCTACCCTGCCCACAAACCACATACAACCAAAAAGTTATATAAAGAATCTCACTCAACTAACGTAAGAAAAACAAAAAGCGCAGTCTGATGACGTTATTCCTCTCATAACACGGCAACACAGAATGTCTTAGTAGCAGCCTGTTTGATTTCTTGGCATGAGTTAGAAAGTTAGAAAATGTCTCAAAACATTTCTTCTGCTGAATGTGCAAGATGCTGCCATCTTGCCAATGCAAACACAGCAACACGACTCAATACAAATCTTCTGGCGTCACTGTTCACGTGTTGCACCCTCTGTCGTTGCTCAACTCCTTTCCTTGGTCTTCCTCCTAGGTTTGACCCCAGAAGCTTCCAGGTTTCAGGAAGTGCTCAACAGATATTATATAACAAGGTCATAGGGGATTCAGTTTTGCATCATGTGACTACTCAACTTGTATAATAAGAGGTTTATTGAACACTAGAGGAAAAAAGTGTTATTTATGAGAAAAAAAGATGAAGATGTTTTACTTTTATTATTAATCTCAACATATTCATGCACTTTTTGATTAACACTACTTCCCCTCTGTGAGTATTTGAATAGGTGGAGCTGAGGTGTGATGGGGGGGAGAAAGTGACGACAGGCACTACTGCTGGTTGTGTTCAGTCATATTTACAAAATAGTTTATGATTATTAATTAAAAATGGTTGCCGGATATTAACCATACAAATGTTTATTGCAATAAAACACTGCTAAAACTACTTGTTATGTTTGTTGCAAACACCGAATCTGGTCTCTCAAAGCACTTTGCAATAAAACAGAAGAGTCTGCTGTAAAGTTTAAAACATTTTTTTTCTGTGCTTTGAACACAAGCAGTGGCTTTCCCTCCCTGTGCGTCTCTTCGATAGCGAATAGTAAACTGATCTTCTTTAGAAAAGGGATATGATTATGATGTTGTTCATGCGATTTTTATCACGATGATATGAAGATAAAATAATAGCTGTTTTTTCTATAAAAAAAGTTCACTCTGATTTTGACTATTTCAGGGAAGGAGGGGGTTAACACGTTAACTTGCTGTCTGTCGCAATGTCATGGCATGATTGTGTTTTCCTGTGTGATTTGTTAACACACACATGCACACACACACACACACACACACACACACCAACACACGTCATGTTTTTGTTTATGTTGGCCTTGTCGTGATAAATGCATGATACATTTTAGGATCCCACAACGTTTGACTAGGTGATTCAATAAGCTCTTTTCAATTTCACCAAATCTTCATCTGATACAACAACACAACTGTTCATTCACTTAAACCTGATTTGAGCTTAAACTCTCTTCACCACCCATCCACAGTCCATGAATGGCTGTAGTGGCACAGTTGATGCAGATGTACGAGGTCGTGTAGGGAGGCGTCGTGATAAAGTGACAGTTGAGGTTAAAAAAGGAAGAAGATTTACACACCATCTCGTTTGACACTTCATGGTCATTTTTACTCTGTACACATCACCAGGTTTGTGCTTGATGTTGACTGCCACGATTAGCTTGACTTGAAAAAGGAACAGGCACACCCTGCAAACACACACACGACCATTTGCTACAGACTTATTGACAAGCTATAGAGAGTGAAAAGCGAACACGTCATGGCCTCCAAGTTTACCTTTCAACCTCCAGCATTCGTTTGGGGCCTCTGTGTGATGCATCCATCATGAGGGTTCGGTTTAGGGTCTGATCGCCTCAGTGCTTCTGGCAACAGAGATAATCCACTGGTTAAAGGTAACGCAGTGGCAGCTCCAGTATCAGAAGGGTTATTTTTCCTTCAGGTAGATTTGTGGATGTTACCTCTCTTCCAGACATCCGCCAATCTTACTGAATAATGTCGGTCACAAGCTCAAAAATTAAAATAAAAAAAAAAAATGTGTTGATTTGTGATCTGTACTGACAAGCTCAAGTCATCTGTGCAAGTGTGCTTGGCTGGGTCACTGCATGATTACGTGACCTTGCTGCAGGTTCATAACTCTTCTATCTTCATGAGGTTGCCTATCTCGAGTCAAGCATATTCTCTCTTTTTTCCCCACAAAAAAAAAAAACGTTCATTTCCATGCATATCAGACCATTTGCAGTGCTCTTTCTTTCTTTGTGTCACAATTCAATACAGTAAAATATATACAGTGAATGATTTTCAATAGCTACCCTCTCCTTGTAGTGAAGTGTAATACTCTAGATACAATGCAATAGATTCTTCTTTTTGCTTTTCTGTTTGTGTAACTTGGGAAATTATTTTTACAACTCAAAAGAAGTCCTCTCCTTTTGGCATTTGGACCTGATAAACAGCACAAGAAGAGCTGGCTTTGCTTTCATGCAAGGCTTCCTGTTTCCATAGATATAATTTCAGCCAGAGAGGAATGTAAATCATAGGGGGAAATATATATTATATAAAGTTGTATAATATACAAAATATATATGAACCAATGTTATTTATGTGAATTTAAGTCCAATTAAAAGTCTGATCCCAGATGTGTTTGAGTGGAGATGTTATTTTTACAGTTGTGTTGATTACAGAAGATGCCATTATGTGTTGTTCCTCCTCACTGTGCTTACACAATGCTTAAACATTATATTGATATATAGTGGACTTTTGTTGTACATCTATCAATTAAATTTAGACTCCGATAATTATATTTGTTACCTGGCCTTAACTGGGCCTATAAAATAGGTCAACAAATAATACCCACACTCAAAACAACTCATCAAAATAAGGTGGTTATTGAACAAATAAACCTCACACAATAACATACTGATTTGGCCAAACCAAATAACACAAGGGGGAGACAAAATACAAAGTAAAACTATCTAGACACCCCCCATGGTATGGCAGCACATGGTTTAGCCCAATCAGCTAGCTCTAGTATAAAGTGTCCTCAGCCTTCAGTCAGGACTGTTTGCCACTGACATCAAATGGAAAGGAGAGGAAGAAGAAAGAGAGAAGCCATGAAACCAGGAAACCAGGAAGAGATGAGAGGTAACTCAAAGGCAAAGAAACAAAGGGTTTACATATCAGATATAAACTGATGTTAAATATTAAAATGTGGTTGACTGCAAAAGAAATGAACCTGCGTGGTAAACTAGATAAAATGAATCCAAGCTAACTAATGAGCTGAGTGAGTGTGGTTTGGAGCCATGTCACCACATGTAGCTGAGGAAGTCACCCTCAGATGTGAGAAATAGCATGTAGCCACTCTAAAGGGCAGCTTAGCATAGTAGGGAAGCAGCTATGCTAAATTAGGCCAGTTAGCTTAAATTTAGCATAGCTGTTTTTGCCACCTGTGGCCATCCCACTTAGAAGCTCAGGTGAAATGGCATGTAGCTATGTTCTATGGGAAGCTTAGCATAGCAGGGTAAACAGCTATGCTAACTTAAGATAGCCAGTTGGCTCAATTTAGCTGTTTTAATGTGACATCTTTACTGTTACATCGAATATGTGTCTTTATCATTTCTGTACACACACATGAGTGGTATCTGTCCTCTCATTTAAATCAACAGCAAATAGTTTTAAGCCTATAAATGTGTATCTTGATGAATGCATAGATAACCCAAACTAAATATTCTTCTGGAAGCATCTCGTGCACAAACATGGCCTTGGACCGCTCACAGCCCACATGAACTCTGCTGTGTAATTCAGGCCCCAATTTAAAATCCAAGTCAAAGCTTCCACAGGGGGCTGAGCCATGGACGGGTTAAGACAGAGTGAGGCAGGCCGTCCAAAGCTCAGGGGTTAGTAGGACTATACCCTCCTCGCCCTCATCTGTCATTAGTGGCATGAGGGCCTCATTACTACAACACTCTAGTGCATGGTTCCCAGCAGTGCCTGTGAGCCTGGCACACACTCACAGTGACCCCAAAATGATGAGCAATATGCTCAGTTGTTTTGTAGCACATTTCCTGTGAGGCAGTTGTGACTCTCTCAGTGTAATTGGGGCAATCTCAATCTAAAACCTTTTATATTATAAATATGTTTGTGAACAGAAATACAAATAGTATGATGCATCATGTATAATCCATACTATTTAGCCCCGAGACTATGCCCCTTTCACAATCCCTAAATGAAGTCAAAATATCCCAGTTATGCCATCTTGCACATTTAAAGTCAGACTCGTGCTGATACAAAAACAGTTATTCAATTTTATTTATTCTGCTGACTGTGATTTTCAGAATATTGCAGCCTAAATAAACACTTGGACATTTTCTCCCCACAGAGTATGCAAACTTTGTCGCCTGCAGCAGTAACTTCTCCGTTGAGCAGGTGAGTGTTGCTGTGACAAGCAAATTCTCTCTGGTTTGTCATCTCATTGTTGAAGTAGATACATGTCAATGTGGTGCAAGATGATTCTGCTTATTATAGTATGTGTAAACTGCATGTACCGAAATTCAAAATAGTCATTACAGTCAATCATTTCAGAATAGTCTCCATAAGTACCTGTAATAATTGGTTTAAATACCTTTGGTTCATTAATTCCAATAAATTAAAGTTAGCAATCCTTTCAGTCTTTTGATAACAGCATCACAGTATTTGCATCCTGTCACCAAACCTATTCTCGACTTTCTCTTGCTCAACTAACGCAGTTTAACTGAACAAGATTAACATTCAGCAGACTGATGCTGATCACGTAGTGTCCACTGTTAATTTGTATATGCAAAGGGGAAGTTGTTGTTTGTTTTGTTATATATTCTTTTTTGGGTTAGTAATGATGGAGTACAGGCCTCAGTGCCTTAACTCTGTGAACCACTTTAAATCGGGGGTCTGTGCTTGTCGCAACCTTTCCATGTGTGACAGATTAGCTGGTAGTTAAATATGATGCTCACTCCGGCTCTGCTCCTTCGCACTGCTAAGCCATTGATGTAACATATAATTACATTTCTAATTGCAGAATAATTAGGACTCCCTGCGTAGCTCGTTAAGTCATTTGTCACCAAAGTCTCTAATGTAGCCTACAACAACTTTCTAATTATACCAAATGAAAAGTCTACATGGTGGGGAGCCCATCCCAACTGTGGCCTGAGTCTTTCCTGACGCACCCTATTCCATCAACTCAAGTTTTTATTATTATTAGCTACTAACTGAATGGGTCATGACATTGTCCACCCGGGACGCCAGAAGCTTACTTGAATAATAAGCCTTGTAAACGTGGCGTGATCTCAGCTTAAAAACGGCCTCATTCCACCTTTGAAATACAGCAAGGTCACATAATTTCACTCTCCAGAGAGCAGTAAAAGACTAATGTACGCTGTTATCACCAGCAGGCAATAGATTATTGTAATGTTCTCCCCTCTGGTCTCCCAAAAAAAGACTCCAGTTCAGCTACAAATGCTGTTATGAGTTTTTGCACAACACTAAAATGAAAACGTCCTCATTGTCCTATGTTCAGAATGATCTGCATTGGCACATCCCAGACAGAGCACCGTGGTCTTTCACTCCAAACTGTGTGTCCTGACCAATCACGAATTGTCTCAGCAGTGATGATTTATGAGCCAAAGCAGACAAGAATATAAAAAGATATTAGCTGTCTCACACCGTCCAGCTTTTCAAAGACCTGGTGTCCAGCTGAGTATAAGTGTCTCCTCAGTAACCTACAAGAGATGCAGAATCAAGAACAGTCAATCTAGATGCATTTCTGGAATTGATTGTTATTTTGTTGGCAACTAGGCTAAAAACCTAAAGCCCCATAATGCTGCCTAAAACAAGAGGTTTTTTTTGTTTTTACATTTTGCATTTGCTAAACTCTTAAATTGTCATTACTGAAAAAATCTGTGTTAGCTGTTTCTATGCCTGTTTGGACTACTGCCTACTTGTGGTCATAGCAGGCTGTTGTGTTTGGAAGGTAGGTTGACTAGCAGCCGATGCTCCTCATTGTTTCTTTCGTGTTTGTGACTGTGCATAAATAAAGGGTGGAATCTAGCTACCTTCAAATGTGCCTAGTTCTTGGCTCTGCTTCCACTGCTCTAAGATCTGTTATGATATTGGCTGAATTATTACAAAGAGATAATGATGCAAGTTGAAACTGTATTTGTAACTTTTACCTCTACAGTTTTTTTCTTTCCAAGCATTAAGATGCAGTAGTAGGGAAATTATACTTTGTTGTATCGTTCAAAGTTTAGCTTTAATTAGTTTGATGCTATAAAACAGGCTGACTCATTATTGGTCGGTTGTATCTGAGAAATATCACAATCTGACTCCCCAATCATTACTGCTTTAAATCTGACTGTCATGCCAAACAAATTGCTGTTGTTGTCCTTGCTGCTGGTGTAGGTTCTCGTGCAGAGGTGGCACAAAATGAAGTACTTTCTGATGGTTCATTCGAAGCAGTGAATTTGATGGCTCTATAAATACTTGAATCAGTAAACACATGCAGATTGTTGCCCTCTCCCAATGGCACCAGTTTCCCATTTCCAGGGCATTAAGCTTAACAGTATTTTCTCTGAACTCATCAGTAACCTAATAAATTGTGCAAACAATTATTGGCAAGGCAATACACAACTACTTTCAACTGCATATTTTATTACTTTCCCAGCTTTTCAACACAAAAGTCGTCATGGTGAGAAGAAGTTGGACCATTATGAAGTGTGGAGCCAGTCATTGTAGTATGTCATGGTTTTCAGTCCAACATTTAAGTGCACCATTACTATTCACTTGACAGAAATACAACCCCCTACACTTATTACATCCAAATTTGTCATCAACTGTTGACGGCCTGTCAGATTTTTTCATTGCAGTTCACGTCTGTCGGAGCTATAATATGCACAGCTGGATATAATGAACTGCAAATTTGCATCAAGCCCCTGACCCGTTTCACATTCACACACCTGCTCCAGCGGCACCCACCTGAGCAGAGTGTACATTTCCAAAAAAGCTGCATTTATTGCCATCTGCTTTGCGAGAGACACTTTAAATCTGGTTGAATTAGAGGGTGATCTGCTTTCAAACTGAGTGTGTGTGTGTGTGTCTGTCTGTGGGTGGTTGCACATGTTTTATTGTAAGGTTTTTTTCCCTGGGCGTCATTTTTGCCTATTTAACCTTTGCTTGAATTCTTTAAAGTAAGGCTCCCTTTTCCCTTTCTGCAGAGTGTGTGAAACATCAAAAAGCAGCATCACATAATCCACTCAGTAAATCAAAGTTAAGAAAAACAGAGAGCGCAGATCAAAGTGAAGTGATAAAAATGACTTGCCTTTGGACCTGTTGAGGCAGACAGGCAGCCTTTACCTTTCTTAAGTGAGGATGAATTAGACCACGGCGGAGGAGAGTGAGAGAGAGAGAGAGAGAGCGAGAGAGCAGAGGCTTAGCTGCCTGCCTGCAGGTTGATGGAAGAGAGCTATGAACCCTGGGAAATGAGGATCTAAACAGGCAGTAGATCACCAAGCCCACTGGCTCTGTCTCTATCAGACAACGTCTCACTCCTGCAGACACGCACTAATACTCACACCACACAGTCGATATCTAGATTAATCTGTGGGGGTGGAATCCATCAAGCACCCCAGTAGCGTTTCAGAGCCCTGGAGGCTTGATGTTCCTGCTGAAAGAGAGTGATACGTTGATGTGCTTTAGAGTGACGACAGTGTGTTCGTTTCATGGAGATACTGTTATAGTCCTTGACAAGTTGATGAGCAATTTTGGGAGAAGAGTTCAGGACTCTGATGAGCAGGAGGAGTGTTAGGAGGTTCATGCTCCCTTCTCCTGAATGTTTTCTTGACCAAAAACAAAACATAACAAATGTGACATTGATGTATTTATCCAGTATGTTCATAAACAGGAAACCTTTCTATATTAAGAAACTACATTAGCTTGTTTGGTCACAGGTTATATTTTGATTTTAAAAAAAAAAGCTCCAGTCATCACCACCATGCTTTCACTGTTTGAGTTAATCTTCGTCCTATACTTGGGATTTAGGGGAGTTCACACTTGATGTCACATGATGCATGTCACATGTGCAGCTGGAGTTGGGTACCTGAAGTAGCTTGCAAGCATCTCTTCATTTATGGTATTACCACCAGCATTACTAGCATTACTTTTAATGAATGTCCTGATTGTTCACACATCACATCGCTGGTGGTGAAAACTATTTTTTTTTATCATTTAATCCTGTCTCAAATTCCTTCACCTGGTCTGAAAGTCTGAACTGTCCTAAAAAAAAACATACACTGCAAACAATCTATACCTTGCTTTGTTTGATCAGACCTAGACCACCTCTTTTGGGAATGCTAAATTTTGGTCTCTTGTTCCTGAGGCACCTTTCACATCTGTTATTTGTAAAGTGCCATGGGTCTCTGGCTAAATACTCTTCTCGGAAATCAAGGACCCTTCTTTAAATGATGAGAAAGAATTTCAATGATAGCTCTGGTGCTGTTGTGACTTTGATTGCATTAGTGTGACAATGGTGAAGTTTATTTTTTAACCACTTTTTTTCCTTCTGCGTATCAAATGAAGCATCTAGAGAAGTTACACGCTCACTGATATTCTTGCGGCTCTGTGAGTTTATATCAGAAGTATGGAGAGAATAAAATGACTTGGCTCCACGTCATTTTGACAGCTCTCCTCTATAAAACAGTATTTATAGCACTTATAAGTGACCAACACTTACAGTCAGAGTGTATCACTTTTGACCAAGCTGTCCTCAAGATCGAGTGCTTCTATTTGGATGAAACGATTGAGAAGAGGTTTGGTTAAGCCATCGGGGAGTGTGTCCCAGAGGAGCTCTTCATCATCACCTACAGCCAATTTCACAGGTTAATGGGTTAAAAAATACACTCAGGACTTTATACTGAGGAGTTGGAGGTTGCATTTTAAACTTGATGGTTGGAGATCATTGGGGAAGTCAGTATTTGTGAATGCACAATATTCCCATGCATCGTTACACATAGACGGTGACAGAAGCTTAACATTAAAATATTAGAAGTTGTAAACACTTCACGAATAAATTATAGTCCAGTCTCCATGACATCAGGCTTAGTGAAGAAGTGAGTTTTGTTGAAGGGGTTTTTATAGCAGTGTAACCATGAGTGACAAAAACAAGGTCTCTTTTTGAACCTGTGACAGTATATGTATATACAGTAAATCACTATATTGAAAAGGAAAATATAAGTCTTGTTCATTAACATTCAAGCAATATATTTAATAAACATATGACTTACTATGAAGACACTGCTTGACTCTACAGCACCGTCTGCTTAACTGTGACCCATATACTAAATATACTGCACACGGTGCTGAGATTATTATAATATTGCACAGTATATAGCCTAAGGCAATAC